TTGAACTTGCCTTTATGTAATTGTCTTAGTGAAGATAACCACTGGAAACTGCAAGAATATTAACAGCAGTCACTTAAACAAATGTGTTTCTCACATTGCTGTGTCTTGTAGAATGGCTTTTTAAAAAAATAGTAAATGTATTTCATTACCAGCTGAAAACTTTTGCGACACTTATGTGTGTTTTAAAGATTTGTACACATAGTACACTGGAATGGATCTTATTTAAGAGTGAAGATAACCACTGGAAACTGCAAGAATATTAACAGCAGTCACTTAAACAAATGTGTTTCTCACATTGCTGTGTCTTGTAGAATGGCTTTTTAAAAAAATAGTAAATGTATTTCATTACCAGCTGAAAACTTTTGCGACACTTATGTGTGTTTTAAAGATTTGTACACATAGTACACTGGAATGGATCTTATTTAAGACAAGAATATAATTGTTTTCAGCAAACTCAGTCATTAATGCCTTCATACATTAGTAACAATCTGGGTTCACACCCAAAATGCTTTGTGAATGACCTGAGACTTGCAATCTTTTTGTTTGTTTGTTTACTTATTAATCACTTTACTTTCTATCCTGCCCCATTAGCGCTGAAGCACAATTCTGGGCAGCTTACAAACAGCTAAGAACCAGTGTGAACATACAAACAGCAATAAATTAAACCACCAATAACAAATAGAATAAACTAAATGGCACCAAAGCAAATTCCCCAATCATAGCAGCACAAGAGGCTGGACATTCAGCCAGGGACACATGAATTGGGGTCAGTCTTGTGTACTCTTGTCAGTTGTGACTGAAAAGTGATGGCGGTGATGTTTAAGGCTGCTTTGCAAGAGAATCGCAAGACGATGAATTCTAAAATCTTCCTCACCAAGAACAAAAACATTTTTAGCTTGTCTTGTGAAAAGAAGGCCCAATTGTTTGGAAAAAGAATCTCAAGAAAGATTTTGTCAAGGGGGAAAAGACTATTTCTGTGTATGGTTTTAAGGAAGAGCTTTATTAAAACCTGGGGTTTGGTATATTGTTCTGAGCAGTCTCTCTCTCTTCATTTCTGTTACAAATTGACCTCTTTCTATTAGAAAACAAAAATTCTGGTATTCTCTTTTCTCATAGAGAAGGGCGACATATGTATTTCACATTACAACCCCTTTTGGGGGTGGTTTCTTTGCCTACCCACAGGAGAGGGAGTCTGTTAGCCCCCCCCATCTGCCTATAAGCAGGGTTCGATGTCTTGTAGAGTAGTGGTCCCCAATCTTGGGCCTCCAGATGTTCTTGGCCTTAAACTCCCAGAAATCCTGGCCAGCAGAGGTGGTAGTGAAGACTCTCCTCTTCAGAAAAGCCCCTTCCACTTGGAGAGCATGGTGGAAATGCAAGAAATCCCTAAACAGCAGAGACTCTCCTCTTCAGAAAGGTCCCTTCTACTTGGAGAGCATGGTGGAAATGCAAGAAAAGTGGAGCAGGTACTAAGCTCTTCCCTGGTTGCATTCAAATGGAATAGCCGCAAAGGGTTGTAACATGAACTGCATTTATAGATTCATTTGTCTAGGCAAGAGGAAGGGGGGAAACTTTTGCATTATCTCAAGCACAGATGTCAAAAATACTTTGAGTGCAAGAAGTGCATAATATATAAAGAAGCAGTTAAGGAACAGTTTGTCACAGCTGACTGAAAGTGCAGTAATTCATCAATCGTACATTGCCCTGCTAAAAGGATTAACCAGAAAGTTGTTATGTACTCTACTTAATTGTGTTGTTGGGGGGTTTTTTGGTCACACAAATGTTCTCAGTCTGTGCAAACTCCACAGGAGTACATGTGATTAAGTGGCCTATTTCCTGGGCCTTTGAGAGCCACAATACTGTAGGTTCTATTCTGTGTTCTCTTGAGTAGTCTGCTGCGAGACTAACAGGCTGCTGATGCGATTATCTATTCATAGCTGTGTACACCAACTTTTTATTAACAGTTGAAATAAAAATAAGTACTCAGTCTAGCATTATTTTTAGAGTACCAAACTGGGATGAATATCATAACATCTTCTTGGGGGGGGGAGTTATTATTTTGCTGCTTTTTTCAATGTTTAAAATGCATTTATAATATCTCCCTAAACTGCCTTAAAATTGAAGTAAGATACAAATGTATTAAAGAAACAAACTTGCCTGTTTGGACTGTCAGCAATCATTGCATCAATATGATTTACCTTTTTTCTGTCCCCTCCCTCCTGCTTTCTTTGTGCAGGTACCTTTAAGCTAGTAATAGAATTTTCTGAAGAGTATCCAAATAAACCTCCCACTGTTAGGTTTTTATCAAAAATGTTTCATCCCAATGGTAAGTGTTCATAGTGGTATAGATATAAAAACTTTGCATAAAGTGATATGTCACATCCATATTTCCTAAAGATAATCTTCAAGGGAGATAACTATCTGTAAGAAGGTTCGTCTCTTCCCTCAGGCGGCCCCTCCATTTCGGCGGGAAATATTAAAGGCTGAGTCTTTATAACTTTAACAGTAGAAACTTTATCATGAAAGACTTACAAGCCTGGGGGGGAAAGAATCACCAAAAAACTTTATATGGATGTGTTTGTTTGTTTACAAGCCTGCAAAAAACCTTCATGTTTATTTATTTGTGTTTATTTTTTCTGCCCTTCCTCAAAAAATCCCCAGAGCACCTAATACCTTGGATAAAGATACAGGGGTTAGTACATGGGAGGGTGAATCCACTGGCACAATAGCTTTTAACAATATTTACAATATAAAAAAATAGAATTGAAAACGTAAGTTAAACATTAAAAAACAATTGAACTATACGCTATTTAAAATATGATTAAATAATTAAAAGTGAGTAAATGTTCAAAAACATCTTAACTTTTAAAAGGCTATGTTGAACTAGTGTTCAGAGACTAGTTTGAGGTTGGATCTCAGCCAGCATAAGACATACATGTTTAAAATTATGTTTCTAAGATAATAGCTGAAGTTATGTTGCTTTCTGTATAGTAAGCACTAGGTAGTAAGTCTTACCTAGAGCAGGCCAATTTGAATCCATGGAACTCACAAAGAAGTAAACTTACCAAATCCAAACTGATTCTGTGGGTTCACTCTCGTGCAACATAAGCTAAGGAACAAGATTTCAGCCAATGGTTCTAATCAAAATCATATGGTTCAGAACATCAAAACTTCATGTCAAAAATGCAGTTGCCAATATAGAAAGAAATTAATGTTATGGTTATAAATAGCCAACTGTTTTTTGTAATGTGTTGTTAAATTGCTTCAGGCTTATGGTGGCTTATATGAATGAGTGACCTCCAAAAGCTCCTGTAATTAATAGCCCTACTCAGGCCTTGCAAAGTTAAGGCCATAACTTCCATTATTGAGTCACTGTATTTCATGTTTGGTCTTCTTCTTTTCCTACTACCTTCAACTTTTCCCAACGTTATTGTCTTTTCCAGTGAGTCTTGTCTTCTCATGATGTGCCCAGAATATGATAACATCAGTTTTGCTTTTAAAGGCAGTTCAGGATTGATTTGAACCAGCTCTCACTTATTTGTCTCTCTGCTGATCCAGGGTATTTGCAAAGCTCCTCTCCAATAACACATTTTGAAAGAACCAATTTTTTTGTCAGCTTTTTTCACTACCTAGCTTTAGAATCAATACATAGTTATTGGGAATACCATACTATAGATGATCTTGGCCTTGATCTCTACAACATGCAATTATACTTGAGGATCTTTTCTAAATCCTTCATAGCCTCACTTCCAAATCTCAGCCTTCTCCTGATTACATGGTTGCATAGTTCATTTGGATTAATGACTGAACCAAGGTGTTGAAAATAAGCTATTTTGATTTCTTCTTCTGAACCTTAAGAGTTTTGTAATTCCTCTGTAGTCATGATTTTTGTCTTCATAATGGTCAACTGAACTCCTACATTATCTTCATCAGTAGTTGTTTCAAGTGATTGCTGCTTTATGCTAGAAATATGGTATCATCTGCATGTTAATTTTTCTTCCAGTATTTTCAGTCCTCCATCTGAATCTATTCTAGCCATAATATGTATTCTGCATGCAGACTGACGGATGGTAAAATAAAACCCACCCTTGTCTGACAGCTTTGCATAAGGAAAAGTACTCGGTTTCTCTGTATTCTGTTTTAACTGTAGATTCTTGACCAAAATATAGGTTACACACCCAGACAATTAAATGTTAGAGCACATTTTTTAAAAAAAAAAGAAAAACCCTTGGATTTCATGATCCACCTAGTAAAAAACTTTGCTACAATCTATAAAGCACAGAGTGATTTTCTTCTGAAATTCTCTGATATTTTCCAATAGCCAACGTACGTCTTCAATACAATGTATGCTGCCTCTCCTTCTTCTAAATCCAGCTTGAACATCTGCTGTTTCTTGCCCCATAAAGGGCAAAAGTCCTGTTGCAAAATCTTGAGCATAGGAAATTAATGCTTTGGTCATACAGTTACTGAAGTCTTAAGTTTCTTCTTTCTTGTGAACTGGAATCTATATTGAATGTTTCTAGTTTGTGGGCTCTTAGTTTGTTTTTCATAGTTGTGGGCATATTCTTATTAAGATTTTATAATCTTCTCAAACTGCAAGTTTTTCCTTGCATATATATTGTTTCCATCTTGGTCCCCTGTTGCTCTTTAGCATTACTAATCTAGGTTTAGATTTCTTTTTGATTTCTTGGATTTAATGGAAAGAGATATCTTGTTATGCTGCTATGTTGTTCTCTTCTATTTCTTTGTAATGATTATTGCTAGTTCTTATCCCAACTTATCCCCTACACTTAGGATTCTAATCCTCTTCTGTCACCTTTTACTTTTGTTTCTCCTCTGTCATTAACCACTTGAAGAATTGCATCAGATATCCATCTCTTCTTTTTGCAGTCTTTTTGCATTCTTTCTTGGTATCTATTATTGCAGGTCCATAGATCTTTGGTTTGCAATCAACTGAATTCAGTAACACAACTCTTAAGTTCACTAGAAATGTTATTTAAATTATATTTTAGCATTATGGTACTTTTAATATTGTTCTTCAGCTTCACTTTTAACTTTCAGTATTAGCAATTAATGGTGTATATCATAGTCTGCTCCTGGTCTTGTTCTGGCTGACCATCTTCTCCACTACTCTGAATACGTAATCTATTTGATTTCTCTATTGGCTATCTGGTGATATCCACTCATCTTTTCACTTGCCATGAGCATGTACTTAAAATTAAAAGATTTTTGGCTTCACCAAATTCTATGAGTTGTTCTCCTTTTTCATTTCTGACCCTTACGCAATTCTCTAACAATGTTTGCTTCTCCTTTATTTCCTATTTTTGCATGCTACTTACCTTGGGTTATCAGCACACCTTGTTTTGAAGTGTGATCAGTTTCCTTCTATACATTTGCATGATCGTTTTCAATTTCTTCATCAATATCTGTAGCAACAGCATAGTGTTGTATGATGGTTATATTGATGGGTCCTCCAAAAAGTTTGACATTCTGTCAGAATTTTAATTATAATCCCTAACTGCATGTGCTACATCTCCCCTCACTTTCTTCTGAATTTATCATTTCCAGAATAAAACATTTTGTAATTGTCGGATTAAAAGAGTCCTTTTCCACTCTACATTGGTTCATTCACACCAAGTATTGTTTTATTTAAACTATTTCTTGCTTTATAGTTTTAAGTTACCTTGATTGATATTTTTTTAACCTTCATTTTTTCAACTATGTGCGTTGTGCAAGATTGGAAGCTCCTCTGGGCACATCAGCAACTAGATAGTCTTTCAGTTTTAATCCCAAGTTGCTTCATTAGCAACATTGCTCTTTATGACTTGTCATTTGTCCTCGCTGAATCATGCCTTCTGACTTAGGAGTCTCGTCTTCAGCACTACTTCCTGTTTTTTTCTGAATTGTCTCCTCATGGGGTTTTCAAGGTATAAAATATTCCGAAATGGTTTACCAACGCCTCTCTCTGTGCACAAGAGTTAGCTTGAGGGTCACTGTTGTCGTCCATGAAAGATTCTCTAGCAGTGTCACCTTGTGCTTCTGCCCAATTGCTGCCCTTTTGGAGCATCTCTGCCCCTATCACCAATGAATCTGTCAATTCTGCTGATATGACTGTTAATCCCAATCAGGATGGATGCACCTTGGTCTGGTGTCTCAGTTCTGACCATTCCACCATCGGTAACCCTGCTAGGAGTATAGTCTCTTCACACAGTCTGGAGTCTTGACAACATTTCTCTTGGCTCACACACTCAAGTTTCCCTCACCATGTTAAGATATGCATCCAAAGGGTGTGTTTGTTCTGGAGATCAATAAAGAGCTTTCTGATTTCTAAAAATTGTTTTAGATGGCTTTTCAGAGAGCACAGAAAGAATAAGGGACAGGAAATATCCATTGCACACGTGGCCTTTTGCTATATCACTGTAATTCTCTAAAACCCACTGGTGCTCTTTTAGCTGCTAGAGCTGTAACTGTGTGGGTGCACATTTTCTCTTTATTGCAGATTTTCTTTCTTTCATTGTATTAATCACTGGAAAAGATAATAATGCTGGAAAAGATGGAAGGCAGTAGGAGAAGAAGAAGACAAAATATGAGATGGACTGATTCCCTAAAGGAAACACAGGCTTGCGTTTGCAGGAACTGAGCAGGGCAGAATTGTATAGTGCACCCATAATTACTTAGAAATCATTCCTGCTGAGTTCTTCCTTTGCAGAGATCACTGATCTACATTATTAAATATGGTTATTGATATTATATTAAATACATAAATAATATAAATATGGTTATTTATATTATATTAAAAACATGGCTGTACATCCAGGCCCTCCAGCTAATACCTGATTTTTCTGTTTGCTCTTCATTTATTTTCTACTCTATCCTTGTACTGTGTGTGTTATAGTATGATTTATGTAAGTTTTGCTTTATTTTATTGTTTATCCTATACTGGAAGCCGCCTAGAGTGGTCTATTAGGCCAGATAGGCGGGGTATAAATTAATTAAATAAATAAAATAAATTATTTGGGAGAATGTACCTTTGACTCAGCATATAATGACAGTGGTTTAATTCTAATATTTCCTTTTATTTTAGTATATGCAGATGGTAGCATATGTTTAGATATCCTCCAGAATCGCTGGAGTCCAACATATGATGTTTCATCTATTTTAACCTCAATTCAGGTAACTTGAGTAAAAAAAAAAAATTCAGAGGTGGTGGAAAATCTCTTGACCAATCTTCAGCAGCGTACTGTATTATGTTGAACTATAGTTTGAATTAGAGATATGCAGGTTGATGTCTTCTGGCTACAAGACACAGTATTCCCTAGACAGCTTGGGGAAATTCTAGGAGTTGGGCTACAAAAACACCATGCGTGGACAATTAGTCTGCATGGTTACTAGTAATTGTGAAGAATGGCTGGCTCTCCAGATGTTGTTGGACTACAAGTTCTTCAATCCTACTTAGCATAGCCAGTGGTGAAGGATGATGAGAGTTGTAGTCCAACATCAGCTGGGAGCCTCAGAGTGGCCATCCCTGCTATATAATATACAGTAGGAGTAATTTTTGTCAGAAATGATTGATTTAGAGCTTTATAGATACAACTTTATTGTTTTGACCACTTTGGTCATCCAACATCCACAGATTTAAAACATAGGTATAAATATAAAAATATATACTTGATTGGAGCCAACTGAACATCCACAGAACTAGCAAGTTTAAGAAATACAGATACAAATACATACTTTCTACAAAGTGCAGAATTAAAAACATAATACAAGAGGATTAAAATGTACACATATTTCAATTCTAAAAACCAAGTCGTTTCAGGTGGGTCTTCAGATGGGGTATGAGGTTTTCCCACAGCATAAAAAAATGATTATATCCGCTGACCGTTAAAATTTTATTTTTTTATTTTTTTTATATCCCGCCTATCTGGTCGGTTAAGACCACTCTAGGCGGCTTACAGCATAAAAATACACAATAAGTATATATATAAAACAGCTTTTACATGATAGAACATATTTCAACAAGATGGGGGCAAACAATGGGGGGAGGAGGAAAAGAGGACATCAGGAATTGACTGTATACATATACATTAAAATGCACAACAAAATGACATAACAGCGGTAAGATTGTACATCTGATAACTATATAGACTCTAATCAGCTCCATATTCTATACCATATCTCCAGTACTTCCTATTCTATCATTATCATTCATCCAGCCATCCCTTAATTTTATCGCTAGCCGTCCAAACTTGGCCACTCTATTTGTTACCTCCTTATTCCTGTCTTCCTAAAGATTCTGAAGGATTTCCTTTCTATCTCTGCCATCCAAAGAAGGCATACAAGGTTTTATGAGCCATTTCCGTATCTGCTCATAAATTTTACACTCTAGGATAACATGACTCAGTGTTTCTGTAGTCCCCTCACCACATACACATAACCGACTCTCGTAGGGGGGATTATCGTACCTTCCCAGCAACACCGCAGATGGCAACAAGTCCATGCGTAATAACATGAAAGCCCTTCTATTATCAGGATACTCTAAATCATTTAAGTACGGCATAGGTAGCAATCTATTCAGGGAGTTTATTTTAATAAATCCTTTGACCTTGTTTATATCATGTTGTCTTTCTATATCTAGGATCTTTTGCTTAATCAAATTTTTTGCTTGGATCATATTCAGACAGTAGACATTGTTGTAAAAATCCATAATACTCCAGCTTACGTTTCAGCATTTTCCGCCATGTTGGGACAAAGCAATCTTGTAATGTCAAATGTACTAGCCCTGAGGTATTATGATTCAATTTTAGCCAATATGTTACAGCAGCTATCCATAGCCTGGCCTCAACAGTTACTAGCCCAGCTTCGAACCTTATGGCTGAGTTTGATGCACATGTAGGAAGCTGTAATATAGCTCTTAGAAATTTTGATTGTTGTCTTTCCAAAACAGTCAAGTTAGCTGGTATACTAAATGGGGCTCCATAGGTCATCTGTGTTAACGATTTCATCTTATAAAGTCGAATAGCAGCTGTGATATTTCTTTCCCCCCCCCCACCCCGGTCAAGTCATCTCCAACTCTTCATAGCACGATTGATGTAGAGCCTTGGAAGTTATTTGAAGTAATTGTTATATGCCACCAAGTAAGGACCAACTTACAGTGACCCTAATAGAATTTTCAAGGTAGATGGGATACTGAAAGAATAGCTTTACCAATGTCAGCCCCCAGTGAGTTTTCATGGCTGACTGGGTATTTGAAGCCACATCTCATGAGTCTTTGTCCATCACTCTATCTGCTACATCACAATCGGTATCCTAAAAGTAATTTTATTACAATTATTGATTTATTTCTTGGATTTCTATTCCACCCATCTAGACCAAAGGTCTACTCTGGGCAGTTTACAAATTTATAAACAGTAAAACCAATAAACATATATTATAGATCCAAGGCGACGAAAGTATAAGAAATTAATTACCATATTTTTCCGTGTATACAACCCCCCAATGTATAAGACGACCCCCAATTTTGACCCTTGCCGGAGGCGGAGGAGCAGTCAATGGACAGCTACGAGGGGTGACCTGGCGTGGCTGCTCCTCCGCCTCCTGCTGCCGCTGCCCACTTGCCTCCTCCAGCACAAGTGCCAGGGCTCACCTCCAGCTCATGTCGCCACCTTGTCCCTTGCCCAAAGGGAGCCCGCAAGTGGCGCTGGTGGAGGCGATTTGGAGGCGGTGGTAGCAGTCAATGGGCAGCCGCGAGAGGTGCCCAAGCACAGCTGCTCCATCGCCTCCGCCTCCTTCCATGTCTAAAACAACCCTCAATTTTTCCTCTAATCTGGTTTTAGAGAAAAGTGTCATTTTATACATGGAAAAATATGGTATAATTCCAAGTCCTGCCAAATTGTTAGTTGGTATTATGTTTACCATTAAAAAGCAATGCTTTACTTTACAGTATCAGCATAAGCATGAACAGCATAAGAAATTGTGTAATGTTCACTCCTACTCAGAGGAATGTTTTTTAGTGAGTTACTCCGTTACTATAAAAATTGTGTCACAATGCTAAAGGAAAGGTTATGATTCTTGTGAAGTTAAAGTAATAATGTAACTTAAAACTTTGTTTTAAAAAGGAAGAAGTCATAGTTATACTGTGTTAATGTGTAACTATCTCCAAGTTCTGGACTAATGCAACACTGTATGCGGCATTTATAAGATCAGGGCTCAAATCTAATGACCTTTAGTTAAGTGAGAACGATTTCATTTTGTTGATGAGTTAGTGAATGTTGCTCTATCTTTATTCTTTTGTTTGTTTGTTTCCTCCTCCCCTTTTAGTCACTGCTTGACGAACCTAATCCAAATAGTCCTGCCAACAGTCAGGCTGCACAGCTTTATCAGGAAAACAAACGTGAATATGAAAAAAGAGTTTCAGCTATAGTTGAACAGAGCTGGAATGATTCATAAGACATTACTACTTCACTAACCGACATCATCATAATCATCATGTACAATTTAACTTGCGATAGGAAATGCTACCAGAACTTCTCAAGTGCCACATTTGACTTCCATACAAATGTATTTGCAAAAATAAGCCCTTCAGGTTCAAAACTCTAAAAGCTTGTGTACCTTGATTAATGTACTTTTTATTGCATGTTATGACCTAAGTTATTGCTACATAAATTTGTAATATATCCTGTTTGTATTTTTTTCAAAGTGTATAATGTTGGTGTGAAGTTTTCATGACAGAATATACATATTTTGTAAATCTGTACTTTTTCAAAATATTGAATGCCTTATTTTTGAATTCTTTAGATTTTTAACATGAACAAAAATCACTTAACAGAGTTTTATATATAAAATATTTCATGTAAAGCTGAAATACATAACCTCAGTGCAAGACATTTTTGTCACGTTCAGTTTTCTTTCCATAGGATCAAAGAGCTCTTGCTTGCAGACACAAAAATACATCTCCAGGTAGTAAGATCCTCTTGTATGCATGCACAACCAAATTTTTGCCTAAATGAGAGCATTTTTATTTCTTGTCCAGGAATAATCTTAAAAGTTCTTAATGCATTTGTGTGACATATACGTACATGCCACTCCATTGTTTACATATATTTTAATGTTGGATGTTCAATTTTTTTACACCTTCTCTGGTGACTTTGGAATGGTAAGTGCCTTCTTTCCACCAGTCCTATGAAGTAGTATAAGGTAAGAAATAGCCCTCCTAGGTCCTTCTCTGAGCCACAACTTGAAATTAAGTTCCCCAGATGTTAACTTATTATTCACTGTATTAGGTTTGCCAAAGCTTACAGCAAATCCAGTGAACAAGGTATAAAGGGTGGACTACAGGCCACTTTGCCAAATACTTGGCCTTTACATCCACTTTGTGGATGCATACTGTAATGGATGAAAGAAGAAAGTTCAAAAGCAAGACTGCAGTTCAACATTAAGGGTTTTTTTTTAGAAGTCATGACTACAGAAGTACTACACAACTTTAATGTTGACAATGAAGAAATTGAAATGGTTAGGTATTTTGTATAACTTTATTCATTCATTAATCCATACAGAGACTATTACTACCAAATGAAGAAACTGGAAGAAGACTTAAGTCTTCAAAGGGCAGCAATGAAGAAATTAGAAAAGACTATCATGGGCATGTTACTAGAGATCAAGTCCATCCAGACTATTCTATTTCTGATTACCATTCACAGTTGTGAAAAGTAGACAGCAATGAAAACTGGCAGGAAAAAATCGATTAATTTGAAATATGGTACTTGTGGACTGCCAGCAAGAGGATCATAGATTAAATCAAGCTTGAATTTTCTCTGGAAGCAAAAATAATGAAACTGAAGCTGTTATACTTTGGGCATATCATGAAAAAGCAAGACTTGCTAGAAAATACAATAATGCCAGGAAAAATTAAATTCAGCAAGAAAAAAGGAAAACGAAATATGAAATGGATTATTTATAAAAGAACCACAGACTTGAGTTTACAAGAACTGAGAAAGGCTGTTAAGACATTTTGGATGTCACTCCATCATAGGGCTGGCTTTAGTTGAAGGGACTTGACAGTATGTAACAAGCTTCAACCTCAACATATGGGTGTTTTTGCTCACACGAGAGGAAGAGTGCAAATGCAATAATTTCTTTTTAACAGTAAGATCTGGCAACTGGGAGACAAAAGTTGCATAAAGTTAAAATTTGGAGCAAGTCTTAATTCTTTTGAGTATAAAGGAAAATAATATATTTTTGTGACTCCCTCTTTTAACCAAAGATTTAAAAAACTGATTTGCCATCAGATTAAAAATAAATACAAGCACTTAATGAAATTATTTTAAATTAAAATTTCTTAGCAAGTCTTGATCACAGAAACGTGTTTAAGCAGATAAAAGCACCTTCCTTTATGAAAATCTCATAGTATTCCTCCTCCTGGAAC